CCCTGTAAGCAGCTGATGAGAAACCAACGAAATAAACAATGATGGCACTATTTTATTCTGCAGAAACCACTGTTGTTGTTCTTGCTTTATCATAGTTTCATTATGACAGTAGTTAATAATACATTTCATCAAAGTATTATATTGATACATTAATATTATTATTATTATTTTCACTTCTATAAACACTAACCCTGTGGTAGGTATGTAAATATGCTGTCTATGCACACCTAAATAATAACAACCTGGATGACACCGTAGATTATACGTACGATTGACTCACGATTGTGTGTACTTCTATCTTATAAGCGGATACTAAATGCTCGTAAACATTTGACTTGCCAAGCTGAATAAACATAATTCGCTTTACTGACCTTGACGTCTCTCACACACACACACACTCTCTCTGTACCTTAATACCTTTTGAATCGATATATACACATATTCCTTTCTACCATTACTCATTGTGTTTCACTCCTATACTTGTCAAAACTCCATTGATTCTCTTCACTCTCACTTTCTTGTCTACCGTTGTGTGCTATTTGGAACGTGGCAACTCGAAATGCTGCACTTCGGTGCCAAGTTCTATGTTGAATCCAGACAGAAATATCTCACTTATCATCTACCGATGTGTAGGTCACTATAAAGGGAGAGAGAGAGAGAGAAAGAATTCACCTATCAGTGGGTGTTATCACTACATTTATAATTCTTATCCTTTTTGGGTTCTGAGTGGATCATATGGCTTCACTAGCGCCTCGGTATCTCACTCTCTTCTTCTTAACAGTCTATTTTAGCTTGTTCCACGACTGACTGTCATCTTATCACACCATCTCTTGTGTGCGTCGGTGGCACAGTGGTTAGTACTCTCGTCGACCATGCACATGGTCCGGAGTTCGATTGCCAGCCACCAACGTGCTTCTTTACCTCACTAAGCTAGTAATAAGGCTAGTAACTCCATCCCGTTAGAAGAATAAACACCACTGCTACCGAAACTTCAAGCCTCTAGCCTGAAGCCCTGTATTCCATTGAAGGAATAATAATAATAATTCACTTTATTCCAAAACAGTACTTGCGATACAGAATAGAATTCTCAGCATTTTTACTACAGTATTGCATCCAGTCAGTACATTATCAATAAATAGAATTCTACAAAGATTAAGGAAATCTCAGTTCATTATGACAACAACATATTGGCATGTCGGTAGCAAAGCCAAAGTTGAACAGTGTTTGAAGGTGTTAGAAAAGTAGATGCTAGCATATTTACTGGCGTAAGCGGAAGAAAGAAACAAAGCAGCACATAACGGAAAAAAAGAGAAAAAAGAGAGAGAGAAAAGGAAAAGAAAGAAAGAAAATATTTTACCTATAAATGATATGAGTTGGAAAGACGAGGTCCAGTTGTTCTACTGACTATTCAATTAATTATAAGTGTCACACCTAATGCTTTCTTTATCACACAGAACACGAGCTAAGTAGGGTATGGTTGAGTTTTTGTACTTGCTAGTGAGAGCATATAGTTTTCTAAATAGGCTTCTGGTTTTGCCTTATAAGATGCAAGGGGAGAGTTTTGAATGAAGAGGGTGGTGTGAGTTAGATAAAATGGATTTGGCCCATTTTTCACATGAGTCCAAGTGCCTGCTTGTCAACCAGAATATTAACAAGCTGGTTAAGTGGCACATTGCTTACCCTGCTGACAACCTTTAACATCCTGCGTAATAAGGTAAAGTTCTTCTTCAGTAGCCCTAGAAAAACTAAGGGGGAACAATAGAGAATAATAGGCAGGATGGAAGAGTTAACAAATCGTGGGAGTAAGGGTTGGGTTATACCAGAATGTTTTAACTTCTTGATGTAGAAGGTAAGACGGAATATTTTCTTAGAAATCGCTAAGATATGAGACGACCAGGAGAGATCAGCAGATAGAATGACGCCTAGGTATTTAATTTCCGACTTGGTTTCTATTTCAGTGCCATCTATGTTGCACACCTCGTGAGAGCCAACCAGTTTGTTTAGGTCGGATTTATGCCTAAAGGTGAAATTGACTGTAAAGTAATGAAGGAAGGAATAAAAAAAGAAAAAGAAAAGAACTAGTTTAAGGCAAATGTCATAAGGAGACAAGTTTTCTGTGATACAAATAAGCTGCCGGATTAATAAATGGTTATATTCAATATTTTTGTTGTTGATAAGAAACAGTATACTGCATCTAACAGAAACTCTTCAACCGTTTTACCTATTGTAGCCAGTGTCTATCAGGAGACTGTCCTTTCTCCTCCTTTCTGTTTTCCTTCTTTTTACATGTTAACTTGTGGAGTACGTAACAATAGGGGTTGTACACTTTTTTGTTAGATATTGAAATCAGAGGCATTGTAGATGACTTTTGTCTAAACAATATCGATTGGGACAATGTGTGTATTCTAAAAGCTAACATGAACAAATGGAAAGAAAGACTTATAACAGAATCGATATTCATTAAAGTCACACCGGATACATGTAGCAAAGGTGACTCAGTACAACTATCAACAACTTGGAATATAATTCTGAATACAAACACATGAATGAACGTGGAATACAACTCAAATACAAAACATGAATGAGCAAAAATAATGAACTATATATATGAGTACAAATCATAAATGTGTGAATCAAACAATTCCAACAGTGGTGTGAACACGGGCAGTAATTTTGCTCGAAATATTACCAATAACAAAACTTATCATTGTGTGTAAACTATTGAAATATAGTTATACTTTAATCAATATAGATAACTTCCGAGTACAATCTAAAATACAGTGTACTGTTGGTCGTTTCGTCTTTTCACTGGTCTATGCTGTCTACTTGCTTCACTCATAACCGTGTTGTATCCTGTGGATATTTTGCAGGACCCTCTTATCCTCATCCGAAGACTATTCTACAACCGGTAGACAGCTTCTATCAGTAGACACGACTCCAGCAGTGAACGCTTCTGTGGATTACATTAATAATTTGTAGCTATAGGCTTTAACTGTATATCCAAGTAACCGTTTAATTATTATAGCTCATTACTGTCCCAAATATTCATCAACCTTATTCCACAGCTGTACGACAACGGAACATGTCAAGTGATCCACAACGGAAAACTCAGCGAGGCGTTTGCAGTAAACACAGGAGTCAGACAAGGGTGCTTATTATCACCAATGATATTCCTAATTGTGGTGGACTGGATTATGCGTCAGACAGTGGGAAACGAGAAGACAGGGATATCCTGTCCTGACCGACGTGAAGAACCTAGAAGACCTGGATTTCGCGCGTGGATGATTTATGTTTCATGTCACACAAAATCGAAGACTTACAAGCGAAAACCGACAAACTGGTCGAAGAATCAGCAAAGACAGGACTCCAGGTGAACATAGACAAGACGGAGGTTATGAAAATTACCAACCAACAACAACAGCAACATCCAACGCCAATCACCATCAACGGGAGGGATTTGAAAGAGGTCACTTCATTCATTTATCTAGGGAGCATTGTCTCAACTACAGGAGGAACGGACGAGGATGTCAAATCGAGAATCGGGAAGGCGAGAAACACATTCATCAACCTGAAACCAATCTGGAAATCTTCCGCTGTCACTCAGCCTGCATCAACAACAAAGTGATTCGGATTTTCAATACAAACGTCAAGTCAGTCAGTTCTTCTATACGGATGGATCAGAAACTTGGCGGCGGGTCACAAAGAATATTTCCAACAGCTTGTTGCAGACCTTTATCAACAACTAACTGTCTTCGCTCTATACTGAAGATCAGATGGCCAGAAATAAGGAATCACCAACAAGAAACTATGGGAACAAACAAAACAAGAACCAATCACTCAACAAATATGCAGGAGAAAGTGGATATGGATTGGACACTCGCTAAGGAGGCCGTTGGGTGACATCGCGCGTCAGGCCAGTGCTCGAGTGGAACCCGAAAGGGAAGCGGCGAGTGGGACGTCCAAGGGTGACATGGAGGAGATCGTGTGAAGAGGAGCTGAAACAGTATGGACTAATATGGATGCAGGTGAAAAATACAGTAGAAGAGAGAAGCAATTGGAGACGTGTATTTGAAGCCCTATATTCCACTAGGAACCCAAGGGAACAATAATAATAATAAGTTACTGTATCTTTTATAATATACTGTTACACTATCATCTCATTAACTTTAATTTTCACTTACATACTTGTTATGTAATTGAGCTCGCTAGACAGTCTCCTAAAAACAACTTGCCTCATTCTGATGATGTAGCCAAGTTTGTTAAGTATGCCAATGATTTGTCTGTTTTCAATCCCGGTTACTTCTCTATTAGATTATTCCAAAATAAATCGACTTTTATCAGAAATTACTTACTAGTCTTTGTTGAATACGTCTTAAGTTTAAATCACTTCAAATGTCCAATGGTTGATTTCACTTTCAAACACAAACATGAGTTACGTAAACTGACTGTTTTCCATGATTCTTGTAGATGGAGAATGGAGAATATTTGTAGCTTAGGTGAATGATTTTGGGATAGGTATGTTCTCTAATCGGTGCGTCGATGGCACAGAAGTAGAATGCTCACTAACCACGCAGATGATTCCGAGGGGGGGGATTTCAACAATAGCATCTCAGGAGTGTGAAAGATCCAATGACCTTGAATGCATGCAAGTCGTTGGCTGACGGTACCTGTCATTATCATTGTTATAACCGCAATGAATTGAGATAAACCGCGTCGCCAATTTGTTGTAACTGTAGCGGGAATTAAAATGAGGAACGTTGTTGCCTTGTTCTGTCTGCGCCTGACTAATACGCCTATCTGCTTCTGGTACCTTCCGATTCAGCGAACCACGCAAATATCAAAAGACAAAGTCTGGTCTCTGACTGTGTATTGTAGTACAACAACTATGACTACGACGACGACTACAACAACGACGACGACTTATTTAGGAAATGGTATTTATACAATTTTACAAACAATAGAGACAGCTAACAGTATTAGAAATAATTGGTCGTAATAGTCAATAACAAAATGCGTGGGAATGATGATATACCACATATGCGAGATTAACAGTCATTAAGATAACTGAACAATAACAAAGTGCCTGGGAAATGATAATATAACACATATGCGAGATTAACAGTCATTAAGATAATTGACAATAACAAAGTGTGTGAGAATTGATGATATACAACTTATACGAGATTAACAGTCGTTAAGATAATTGAACAATAACAATATGCGTGAGAAATGATAATATACAACATATACGAGATTAACAGTCGCTAAGATAATTGAACAATAACAAAGTGTGTGGGATCCTATCACCTCCCCCCGTTAAAAGTGTAGGACTTGCTTTTTGAACCTATCTGAAAAGGTTTTGGAGCTCTTCTTTGTCGAGTTGACTTTCGCGTACTGGATAGATTGTGATCTGCGTCCCGGGCTTTCGGCTGTGGAAGGATTTGGCGTCGTACGATGATAACGTAGCAAGGATCTATCCAAAATTTCTTCTGTTGTTCCCTCCCCCTTCGGTTTTGCATAAGCACGCAGGCGTTGCAAGAGAGACTGATCAGATACATGTCCGGGAACAACGTTCTTTGGTGAGGACGAAACATTAGAGCATACTGAATTTAACGGTACATTGAAGAAATGGAGCTTGTCTAACCAGTCAAGACCAAGCAAATTCAAATCATGGTAGTTTGTGACATAACATACACCATTGAATTGTTGCTCACCAAATAAAACCTGGCAATTTATCTCACCCGCGAGTTTCAGTATGTCTCCTGAGGCATTCTTTGCGACATGCTCGGTTGGCAGAATCTGTGGGCACCCAAGTTTGCGCCACGTAGTTCGGGAAATTAAAGTGATATCTGATGCCGTATCCAACTGAAGACGAATAGATTTGCCGTTAATACGTAGTGTAATGTACTTACGTTTGCTGGCGAAATTGACTTTGGAAGTTGTGAAAACGGTCTGTATTCGAGAAGATTGTTTCGGCTTGAAATGACGACTTCTGTTCTTCACCGAAGAATTTTTCTGTGGTGTACAGTAACCCTCTTTATGTCCAAAACGGTGACAATTACGGCATTTATGTTTCTTGAAAGGACAGAACTTGACAAAATGCCACGAACCACAGTACCAGCACACTGAAGGAGGTTTAGCTGAATTCCGAGACTGACGTGCTGTGTGCTTAACGGTGATCGGAGGACTTTTCACTGTGTTAATTGAACAAAATTCAGACGACTGTCGTTTGCACTCCACCATAGCAGTATCGTGCTTCAAGTTGATTAAGCGTTGACATTCTGCTGTCACCATTTGTAAAGTCATTTTTGGGTCTTGTTCCACGAGTGACAGAAGTCGAGTTCTTATGTCAGTATCTTCAGGGTTCTTCAACCCACAAATAAAAGTCAAACACTTGAACTGATCTGATGTCATTTCGTGTGGTTTGAACCTTTCGCATTCTTTGTTCACTTTGCCAGCGTAAGTGACATAATCATCGGAAGGCATTTTTGTCAACTGAAAACATTGATACCGAATATTAAACATGGATGACTGTTCACCAAAGATTTGTGATAAAACGGTGACTGTCTCATCGAATGAGAATTCACGTGGGTTCTTAGGCAGAATGAAGTTAACATATCTGTTGTGCTCAACAGTACCAAGTTTTCGTAGTAACAATCGGACTTTGGCAGCATCATCAAACATGTGGCATTCAATACGAAAAACGTCTTCATAACGATTGAACCAAGCATCAAATACGAGACCAGATATTGGGTCGTAGTTGAATTCACTGATGGAATTTGAGATGCTTTCGTATTTGTCTGAATGAGATGTTGATGGAACTTGAATTGACAGCTTCTGAGTGAGAGCTTCGATTAATTTAAGTTGAGCTGCTTCATTCTGAAGTTGCTGCTGCTGCAAGATGGATTTGAGATCGTCCAGAGAGAGATAGACATTGTAATTGGGTTGTAATTAACACAGTCAAAAATGTTCTATAGATGCGCTGAACAGAATAAAACTCGTCGTCGCTTGCTTGTTATAACTGCAATGAATTAAAGTAAAACCCCGTCGCCAATTGTTATAACTGCAATGAATTAAAGTAAACCGCGTCGCCAATTTGTTGTAACTGTAGCGGGAATTAAAATGAGGTACGTTGTTGCCTTGTTCTGTCTGCGCCTGACTAATACGCCTATCTGCTTCTGGTACCTTCCGATTCAGCGAACCACGCAAATATCAAAAGACAAAGTCTGGTCTCTGACTGTGTATTGTAGTACAACAACTATGACTACGACGACGACTACAACAACGACGACGACTTATTTAGGAAATGGTATTTATACAATTTTACAAACAATAGAGACAGCTAACAGTATTAGAAATAATTGGTCGTAATAGTCAATAACAAAATGCGTGGGAATGATGATATACCACATATGCGAGATTAACAGTCATTAAGATAACTGAACAATAACAAAGTGCCTGGGAAATGATAATATAACACATATGCGAGATTAACAGTCATTAAGATAATTGACAATAACAAAGTGTGTGAGAATTGATGATATACAACTTATACGAGATTAACAGTCGTTAAGATAATTGAACAATAACAATATGCGTGAGAAATGATAATATACAACATATACGAGATTAACAGTCGCTAAGATAATTGAACAATAACAAAGTGTGTGGGATCCTATCAATCATAGCTGAAATATCAACGCTATTCACCACAGCTAAGCAGCAAATTTCACCCAGATCACGTTTTTAAATACTGTTTCGACAATGTGTTAATAGCTTGTTAAGATTAGGATTAAGGTAAGTATTGGGATTAGGATTAAGTTCAGGGTTAGCTTTAGGGTCAGCATTAAGGTTAGGGTTACGACTAGGGATAGATTTAGAGTTGATGTAATTTATTTTAATTTGTTTTCTTATCCACATTTTCCTGGTAAGTAGTCGTCGATCCTCTTACTGGAAACCATAGTAATTCAATCGAGGGCTTTTGAGAAAGACTGCACAACTGGATAAGAGAGATAAATAATTCACAAAACACAGCTCATCTTTAGTCACCTCAGTGAATACACATGTACAGAAACTAGTCTAACTTAGCAATTGAAACTCCTCATTATAACATTGACGTACATTTAAGTCATGCCAGGGAAAGATAACCTGTGTAATGTGTTTTCATGCATTTTTCTTGTAAATATATGTCACTTTTTGTGCAGAAATTCCTCATTTTTATGATTTGTCGGCTGAACGTCACTTGTGTGTTCACACCCGTTGGGACGCTATTCTTGATGATTCTTTCCAGTGTCTCTAGATCCCCATCTTAATAATAAGAACAGTTGATGACGAAATCTATCTGTTTTTCAAACCATTTATAACCAATCCTATCAAACACCAGAAAACCCCACTTTCTAAAAAGTTCAACTAATGAAATATTAATCAATATTCTTGAATTGTTTGACAGTAATGACATGTTAACGAACATTCTTTCAAATTTTCTGCAATTATTTTATTATATCTACAAAAAGAAATTGAGGTCAAATGAACAATCTTGTTATAAATAGTCATGACATCAATTTGTTTGAAAGATTTCCCTTAGTTTTATTATTATTATTCTGAATAAAGCACACAGTTAGTTGTTTCCAACTTTGAACGTGTCAGTCAATGTCTTCTGATGTTAAAATCAAACGTTTTTATTGACATTTCTCGTTGTCTTTATCACTTTCTTTTTTCAACTTCCAGTTTAATCCCCATCTATTTTCAAGTATTGGTTTTTGTGGGGAACTTTGTTTGATTGGTTGGTTGGAGGATTTCATCATGAGCTGACATCAGTTAGAGAACCTTTGGAAAACAAACTGCGAGTACTGGATAGCTAGCTGTTTCGTCAGCCTAGTTTGGGACTCTTCAGCAGTACTCACCCCCTATCTATTTATTATTATTATTATTATTATTATTATTATTATTATATCCTTTAATTTCTACAGGAACATAGGGCTTCAGCCGTGCATCTCCATTGCGTCTTCACCTGGCTCCATGTCTGTCCACACGTTTTCATCTGCTCTTCACATGACCTCCTCCTCCGAGTCACCCTTGCACTGACGACCAACTCACCGCTTCCCTTTCGGGTTCCACTCGAGCGATGGATTGTCTAGTGATGTCACTTGATGCTTAGTTTCCTCAGAGTATGGCCAATCCATCTCCATTTCTTCCTGCCTATTTGTTTCACAATCGGTTCCTGGTTGGTTCGCTCATTGCCAGAGATCCCTCCCTGTTGCTGATCTTTTCTGACAGGCCATCTGATCTTGAGTATTGTTTCACCATCCCTCTCTCTTCTATTAGTTTCCAAGTGTCCGTAGTGAGCCATTGTTTGTCCTGTCTCTTCTTTCTGCCTAGAACTTCCATGCAGGTTTGACTCCACACTGTCTTCAAGTTGTTCCAGTGCTTTTCGACGCTGATCTCTTCGCCAGTGTTGATTTGTGTCTTGGCTTTGTCTTTTATACTTGCAGTGAAGATGTCCTTTCTGTCCTGGTCCTTCAGTTTTTGAGTGTTGAACTTGCCTTGTGGCCTATCTGCAGCTCCTGATTCTCTGAAAGCTTTTAATTTGATTTGGATTGTCCCTTGTACAAGATAGTGGTCTGAGCCAATGTCTGCTCCTCTTCTTACTTTTGTGTCCAGCAGGCTGCGCCTCCACTTCCTTGAGATTGAGATGAAGTCAATTTGGTTTTTAGTTCGCCCATCTGGTGACACCCATGTAGCCTTGTGGATATCCTTGTGTTTGTATACGCTGAGGCCAATCACTAGTTCATTGAAGGCGCAGAAGTCGGCGAAGAGTTCTCCATTTTCATTCATCTCTCCCAGAGCTTCTTTACCCATGATGAGTTCCCTTCCTGTGTTGTCTGATCCCAGTTTGGCGTTCATGTCTCCCATTAGTATTTTGATGTCACCAGCTGGAGTATTGTCTATTGCTGCCTGTAGTTGTCTGTAGAATTCTTCTTTCTTTTCGAGGTCTGCGTTGTTTGTGGGTGCATAGCACTGTATAATTGACACTTTTCTTCCTTTGGAGTTGAATCTGGCGGTTATTATCCTGGGCGAGATCGCCTCCCATTGCATCAGGGCCTTCGTTGCCGTTGGTGACATCATGATAGCCACGCCTTCGGTGTGCGAGTGGTTATCTTCTGGGTGACCGGAGTAGATCACTGACTCACCCGTTGACAATTTGGTGAGTCCATTCCTGTTCCATCTGCTTTCACATATCCCCAGTACTTGAATTCCGTATCTTTTCATTTCGTTTGCGATCTGGGCAGCTTTGCCAATCTCGTACATGGTACGGACATTCCATGTCCCCACAAAGACTTTGTCTTTTGTCTCAAGGAGATACATCGTGCTATCTATTTAATTCACTTCTATTTCACTTTATTAAACGTGTCTTCAAGGCTGAAAGTTTCAATTCTTTTTCCAAAATAGCAGATAATCAATAATTTCCATTTGATTGGTTTTAACCGTGGTATCATTTGGGTTTCAGGTGAAAATAAACTGTAGCAATCATAGAATGACCTTGAATAACCTATCATATCACTAGCCATAAATTCAGTGTAAGTTTTGCTTTAAAATTGCATCATCATCGAAAAGAGCATAAAATAGCAGTCAATTCTCTCTATCTCCCTGTCTGTCTACCTCAATTTCATCAACTTTGAAAAAGCCTTGGACAACAGCATCGACTGCAAAGTAATTTGGAAACTGCTTGAACACTATTCAGTACCTCAAACTTCTTTCAACCTCATTGAATAGCTATATGACACTGCTATTCCAGTTGTGGTTGACTGGAACAAGCTGCAGACCGTGGGGAACTAGAAGACGGGCATACATTAGAGGGATAAGAAAACTAAAAGGTCTGGATTTATGTCCAATGTCACATAAGCTCGAAAACCTACAGATGAAAACCAACAAACTGACAGAAGAGGTCATCGTTTCAACGATAGGTGGTACTGATGAAGATATCAAAGATGGCGTAGGACCATCATTAATTTGAAATCAGTATGGAAATATGCTCCAATCAGCATAAAGAAAAAGATTTAGATTTTCGACACTAATTTCAAATTAATGCTCCTATATGGTTCGGAGTTTTAGTGAGGATGTCCTCTAAAGCCTTATCAAAAGAATAACGAAGACTTTCATCAAGAGCTAACTTCATTCTATACTGAAGACCAAATTACCGGTCAGAAAGAAGTAGTATTAGGGAACACTGAGAAGAAACCTACCAAGGACCCATAGCCAGATAGATAGATAGATAGATAGATAGATAGATAGATAGATCGGCCACACGTTGAGAACTTCGAATGACATTCCCCTCCAGGCGTAGCCTCCAATAAAACGTGAATGGGGAAATAACTAGTTGAGCGACGTGCAGAGGGTGATATCCCGAGGGATCGTCTGAAGAGGAAATGAGAGATTTTGAACAATCTTAGACCCAGTTGAAGATTGTGGAAAATACCCATCGGGACATTAGAGGGAAAAGAACAAGAAGTTCAACAAATATATCTTTTCGGCGATTTCCTTCTCAAAAACTGTACAATCGCATTTATATACATTAGTCTGCATGGATACAATTATTAGTTATTTAATTCCATATACTAACGAAGGAGATAATAATTTTCAACATGATATGAAAGTTTGAAGGTACGAATATAGATTGCAAGGGGATTAGATAAGCTTTTGTGAATGAAATCGCCGAAAAGATATCTTTGCTAAACTTCTTGTTCTTTTGCCAGTTGAAGATGTCTACAGGGGACAGGATAAAATAGAGACGTGCTCTTGAAGCCAAATTGCTCCACTCTAAACTCAAGCGAATAATAAACACTAATAATTTACTACAAAGTTAAGCGTCAGATTACAGTTAGTCCTAAGAATTATATAAAGTATAGAAGTTAGAATTAAGGGTTACGGCTATGAGTCAATATTCATGAAATGGCTAAAGTTAGAAGTTAGGTTTTGAATTAGGGTTAGCATAAGGAGTTTTAGTAACACAGAACTATCCTACAAGAACAATCGAAATCTTTAAGACTACAATTTACTGACAAACTAAGAGGTCTTTATACTCTTTTATTCGGATAGTTCACGGAAGGTCACTGAGTGGTCACTACAGTCTATTTTCACTGGGCCTCGTAACTCACCTAGTAGAGAACCGTACCAACTAAATAGCGGTTCACATTCTACTGGTTCGATTTCACCTCATTCACTCATAAAATCAATAACAGCCTACCAACTCAACTCAAGGTTATCTCCTATTGATTGCGCTGACTAATGACTGATT